AACGGACACACTGATATAATCCCCCTTCTTTTGCACCTTGGGGAAAAGGATTCCTTGCAACCAATACGTTAGAGGTCAGACTTTCCCAAAGAGCTTCATGAGCAAGGTGAGCGTGATTACAGCATGTGTAAATACGGAATTGTGAAGGTGAAGCGTCCCCTTGCTGTGGTTTTGTTATGAGGGTGTATTGCATTACATAGAAGGGGTCACCTTTACCTGTCTATTTTCTGTGCAGAAAATCTTTGAGTCCGGAGCTAAAACCAGCCTAGTTCACCTGTTCAGAGCAACTGTTGGAGTCCAGCTCCACTTAGTGGAAACACCGGGCAAGGTACTTTAGGCTCTTAAACTTCAGAGCTTATCTGTCTGTCTGTCTGTCTGTCCATCCTTCTGAGGTTATCCAAGTGTTCACTAGCCCCAGTAGTTGAATATGGGAGGATCTTAGAAACAGCCTTAACTTTATTTGCATTCTCCATCTATCAACTGCTGTTTTACTGTTAGTTCCTGCAGGTCAGTGTAACCGAACTCAAAAGGACGATGCCTCTTCCAGACACCATGTTTTGTGCTCAGCAGATCAAAATCCCCCCCGAGCTACCGGATATTTTGAAGCAATTTACCAAAGCTGCCATTAGGACTCAGCCTCGGGATGTTTTGCAGTGGGCAGCTGGGTAAGTGTAGCCTTCTCCTAAGGATGTGGATGGGCACAAAAACCCCTTGCTGCCTGTGGCTGTAGTGCAGCTGAGCTGACAGAGGTGTTCCACAAATTCGTATATCACATACCCGCTCTGTGCATGAATGCAGCCTGTTAGCAAGTCAAAAACAGTACACTTGATTTGCCTTGCCAGTGAGGTTCAGATCTGGCATATCTGTGCACAGTTTCAGTTCCATGAAGTTTTCTTTAATTACTGTCTTGAAGAGCATTTTTTTTTCCTCATGTGAAATTTCTCAGAATTTAAAGAAAGTGGTGGAGATGAGCTAGCAGGCGTTAAGAATTAGAAAACTTTGGGGGTTTGTTTGCTCCCTGGAACACTCTCCTGAAACGTCAATGAAATGGAAAAAGAGCCCGTTACGGCTTTTAGATGGCATCCACAAGGAAGAATATCCCCGGGTAGATGAGGCAGCTGTTTTAAGACCCTGTATGTCTCTTACCCACTGATGTGTTGGTTTTGCCTGCACTGCTCGCACTCAGTTTTCCTCGTCGTGCAGTTTGCGTGGCCGAGGGAGCCGTGGATGAGCTTTTTGGCTCGAGCACGGCATGAGCAACAGGTTAAAGCAGGCAAGATTTCCAGTATGCCCTCAGCAGGTCCATGGGTGACTCTTGCTCCTTGTGCCCTCCTCCTTCTGGAACTCATTCTGCCTCAGATGCTCTTTCCTAAGGCCTGGGTTTGGGAACCAGATAAAGTGGGAGGAGGTTGTGGTTTCATGGGCCTTGTTAGTGCTGCCTAAGCGGCTTGGTTGGGTCTCATGCTGTGGCGTTTGGCAATGAGAGTAATGAGACCAGGAAAGTGGTCAGGCTGAAAAACCAGCCCAGGATTCATACAGCTGCATATACATCATGTGTTTTTTTATATATATACTTAAGTTCTGCAGTGCTGTTTCCTGGTCCTATTTGCACAGTATGGGATTGAAGCCAGGCCTGCCTTTGGCTGAATGAAAGCCAAGTTTTACTTGCAATTTTCTGGTTTTTCTCCTCTTTTCCTCCTTTATCTGCCTCAGTCATTCAATTTCAGATTATTGCTGACTATGACAGAGATGGTAGAGAGCCCTGTAGTTAAAAGGATGCGGTTCCAAGTCCAGTTCTTCTGTGTTTGTTAGATTTTATTTTACTGTGGAAAGCAATACCAAAAATATTTACGCAAGTGCTGAAGTGTAAGTTGTTACCTACACTTCTCAAAAAGTGCACAACTGAGGTTGTGCTTTTCAGGCAGCTTGTGGGTGCCGTGTTTGTCAGCCTCGGGGTGCTGGGCAGTGTCCTGGGAAAAGTTTGCCCTTTACCTTTCCACGCACGCTCCAGTGTTAATAAATCACCCTCTGGCTTTGCCAAGGAAGAGAGTGTCGTGCACAATGCAAGTTCAGTACCTTAAGAGTTACTGAAGTATCGGAAAAAGGTAAAACTTAAAGATTTTGGTTTCCACTAAAGCATGAGATTTAGGCACAGGGTGGGATGGGAACTCCAGCAAGCAGATGTGCTGCTGCTGCTTCTGTTCAGGAGCACACAGCTTTGCTTATAGGATTGTAAGGGCTTCTGTGCAGCTCAAATTACCGTGGGCACTGACGTGTGTGGCTGTTTCCTTTTACTTAGTTACTTCTCAGCGTTGTCAAAGGGCGAACCCCTTCCCGTGAAGGAGAGGATTGAGATGCCTGTAGCAACGCAGAAAACAGACACGGGTTTGACCCTAGGACTCCTTAAAGTCTTACACAAACAGGTACAAAGCAGCCTTTATCAAGAGCTATTGTTGCTTTTCTTAGACAAAAAACATCCTTGGGTCCCAAGCGCTGTCTGTCGGGTATCTGATATATTTGGGAGAAGGGCTGTGTATTAAGCTTCATTCTGGTTCTCAAGGTTCTGAACATGGCCCTGTGATTTTATTCAAAGCTTGCACCAAAAGTCTTGGTGAACATTGCAGAGCTCAAGGAGAAATGGAAGCGCTTGTGCTTGCCCGAGGAGCAGCTGGGCACCATTCTGCAGCTGGACGACTTCAGCGACGAGGTGGAATGGATGAAAATCCTGGCGCTCGGGTGCAGTGTTCTCGGTGGGGTATGTCCACACCAGCGGCCCCCATTTACAGAAGTAAAAGACCTTGTATTTAATAGACCACAGAATAATTAACAGAAAGGGAGCTTGAGGTCAGGTAGTGTAGAGGTGAATTCATGTCTGTGTTTGGCTGCCTTGTGCTCTCATGATGTCCTCATCACGATGGAGTGATGCTCATGGCATCGATGCGCCTGTGGAGAAGAACTGAGTGAGAAATGAAAGCATCGAGTATTAATTGACTGTTTAGCTGACCACGTTCTCATAGAAGCAGTTAGTTACTAAATCTATGTTTTCTTCTTTTAGTGAGAGCAATAAAGTTGCAAGAGAGCAGTTTTACTACAGAATGAGAACTTCTACAATATTCTTACACTAAGCCGATGTTCGTACAAATGTGAAATAACGGTTTTTGTGACTTTTACAGTGGGGGGAAAAAAGGAGTAAGGAGACAAAAATATACGTTAAATATTGTACTGAGAATCTTTGGTATCCCAAATGTGGGGCCAGCCTGGCAGTGTAATCACTGCATTTGTTTGTTTTTATCCATTTAAACTACCAATTTCTCAATTCTACCACCCACTCCCACAGTGCTTTTTCTGCTAACTGCTAAAATGGAACTTAACTTCAGGTGGGGAAGGTGGTAAATATCAGCATTCCTGAAGATCAAACAATAGTGTACAAATCGCAGTGGAGCTGTGTTGGAGATGGCACTTGGACTAGCCCTTGCAGTCTGTAAATAGTGTAGGATTCAGCTTGTTTTTACTCTGATCTCTAGTAGAACTTCCTGATTGTTCCCATCCCTGGACCTGCACTTGGGGGTAAATTTGGAGTAAAACCTTCATTCCATCCGCACCAGTTTTGAGTAGCTACAAGTCTCTGTTTTGTGCTGATTTCTAGAAGGTGCTCAGGGCTCTGATGCTGGTTTTCTCCTGTGCTGCTCAGGGCCCTGATGCTGTTTCTCTCCGTGCAGTCCTTGCTGAGCTCCATGAAATACGCCTGCGAGATCTTAACAGTGGACCCTGACGGTGGCCCCGCTCGCATCGCATTCGAGACCTTCTCCTTCCTCTACTCGTATTTGGCTGGCATAGATGGGGATATACCCGAGGACAAGATTGAAGCTTTCCTTGCCACCATTAAGGAACACGCGTAAGTACAAAATTAGACATCTTTTTTTTAATAGGTAGATCACTAAATTCTACATCCCTTCAAGTTTGGTGGCATTACCTATAGTATATTCACCTTTCTGGCATGGTGTTGGTGTTTGGTGGCCTTTGGTGTAAGGGACAAAGGCTGGACATTAACTGACCTTGACAGCTCCTCCTTTATTGATGTAACTCAACCTCATTGAGGAGTGATCAGGATATTTCCAGCGTGTTTGCTTTTACCTTGCTTGCAAGGTCATTATTCTAATATGGTATCACAGAGTTGCTAGTAGTTTAAGGGGCAGATGGCTTGGGGGATTGATCACCAAGCTGTCCCTGAAGCCTGGGGCACAGTTATGAGGTTACCCTGCTTGGAGGTGGATGGAGGGGTTAGGACAAGTTTCCAAACAGTCAACATTTATTTTATACTGAATCTGTGCTTTTAGTCCACTTTTAGTTGATACCAATATACTCCTTTGGAGTATGTTGTATTTTAGAGAGTCACTTGAAGGTTTACCAAAGTTTACTTCTGTAACGAGGCTGGCCTGGTGGAAGCAGTAGCAGGGAGTAGTTTCAAGGGTGGTGGAAAACTGGGTATTTCCCAGCCCTCCTGCCAGCAAGGAGGCACTGCCTGGGGGAGCAGCTTCTGCTGCCCTGTTGGGGAAGGGCTGGGGGAGGCTGGTGCAGCGCGGTGCCCAGCCCTGGCCGTGCCGCGCGCAGGGACCGGCAGGAGGGCATGGTGCAGCTGCGCAACTTCCTGAGCCACCCCTCGACGCTCTCCATGGCCAAGCTGCCCCTCAGCATCAGCTCGGCCCAGAAACAGCAGTAACGAGGCGCCTTTCCACGGAGGAATAAACACAGCCCGGGCAAGCTGACTACAATAATTCCCTCTGGCACTTCATTTATCCTGCTCCTCGAAGTGTCTTTAGTGGATGCTAGCTGAACACGTGCGTATGCCCTCTCCCCACCTCTCTCCCCTTGAGAGGCTTTCACACTTTTGTTTTAAACTGAGCAAACACATTTTATTAGATACCTTTCCACTTATACTTTATTTCTTACAGTTAAATAAAATACAAAATAATTATACTTAAGACACATGTGGACTGTTAACTTCAGTGCATCCCACGGTGTTTCTGCAGCGCTGAGTTTTGACTCTTGCACCTCTCCAGCTTGTCCTTGACCACCCTGTCGCTCTGAATCAGCTCTATTCAGGCGCTGCTGGAAAGCCCTGGAGCAGGGGTGAGCTGTTCCCATGCTTTTCGCTTGCAGTTGAGCCTGTGCTGGATCCAGACTCAGGACGTGGTTTCTGGGGGCCAGAGAAGCCTCTGTTTCCATTCCTCCTCCTGCTGTTGCCCGTGCCAGCCTCCACTCACATGCATGACAGAGACCACCAGAACCCCTTAATCAGCTGCGTTACTGGCGCACACTGTGACACCGACACCGTCCCTCGGCGCAGGAGGGGAGACCTTCCCTCTGCAGCCCAACAGAGCTGTGAGGCAATGGCCACCTCGGGCATCCTGGGTGCAGCAGGACTAACTGTGGCACTACCATAGCAGCAGCACAGCAGCTCTTCGGGGCGAGTAGTTGTTTGAACAGCTGCCAGACAAACCCCAGCAACATTTTCTTGTTTCTACTTTCTTCGTTTGTGGCTGTGATACTTGTCATCGTCCCTGAAATGACGAACAAGCCTCGTTCAGCCATGGAAAATGGGAAAACAGGTTCTTTCAGAAACGAGAAAGCTCTTGTCAAGTGTAATCACATCCTCAACACGGCTGGAAAAAAGAAACCTGTTTATTCCCAAGCTGTTTTAAGCAGAGTTGTGTTATGTGATTCCACAATGGGAGACAAGTGATGCAGTGGATCCTAAACCATATAATGAAACCAGTTCAGAGATGAAGAGTCATTTCTCTCCATGCCGTTATGTGTATGCTGCTCTTCCATAGGAGTTAGGGCTACTGCAGCTCCTTCCATCACTGCAGACTAGAAGATGTGGCCCACCCCTCTCTGCTTCTGCCTCAAGTACAGTCGGGGCTGCTAAAGGGCCAGCAGTCCTGGCTGCCCCAAACCAGCCCGGAAGAGCTAGGCAGGAGAGTGTAGGGACATAGTAGTGAAACAAACGGTCCTATCTGCTAAGTCGTCGTGTAAATCCTGACAGAAGGTGGCACAGGCAGGACAAGCACAGCTCACCACTGCACCACCTGTACCAGGGCAGTGCTGATTAAGGGAAAAACAGGCCCTGAGAAAGCCCAGACCTGACCCAGACTGCTGTGTAGGATATCACAGCAAATTGTGTTCCAGAAGTGTTGCACTGTATAGGGGACTCACCCAGCTTGTTACTTGGACTATGACAACTCCTTGCATTGAATTCCCCGCTGCCTCGGTGGGGAGGCCAAGTCCCTCGCCCCTCCTCAGACTCACCTTTCTCTTCTTCTCCGCCCGTCTCTGTCTTTGCCTCTTTCCCGACTCCTCCTGCGTTTGCTCGGGCTCCTGCTGCCCTCCCTCCGGTGCCTCGGGCGCTCGGCATCCCTGCAGCTCCCGCCCGACTGCCGCGAGTCGGCCGAGGCCGAGCGCCGCTCCTCGCGTCTGAACGAGAGAAGGCTCCTGCTTTTACTCCATAAAACAGCCTTAGTTACTATAAAAAAGCTACCGCTTTTACTCCATAAAACAGCCTTAGTTGCTTTAGTTTTCAGTCAGCTTTGTAATTTAACAAGCCACTAATAGTATAAAGTTTCCCCTGTCCTTCATTCAGAGCTCCTCAAGCAGGAGCTTAACAGAACTAGCAGGAAATAAACTGTGCTGGTGTCAGACAAGGGTTGTATGTGCTAGCATAAAGACACAACAGGATGACACTGCAGGCTGTCAGACTGTTGCTGGCCCCACAGGACGCATTTTTAGCCCGCCCTGGGAAGCTGCCAGCCCTGGAATACTGTCCTGAAGACTTTGACTTCCCGCCTTCACATATTTCTGCGTTATCCAACCTGTTTTCCTCCTGCCAGTGATGGCTGAGTTCTTCCATGTGCACACCGATCACATCCCGAATCACCTGAGGATTAAAGGGAACAACAAACAAAACAAACAGCATGTTATGGAAGTGAACTAGCAACTGCATAGGAGAAGGCTATACTGCTTGGAAAAGCTCTACAATACACGCTGAAATGGAAAGTCTTATTTGCAGACGGAGAAATCCAGTATAATTTTAATGGCATCATGTTATAATAGACAATTAACTATCTTGTCTGTATTTCACATTCATTTCACAGAGTTCAACAGAAATGCTGCTGTTATTTGTAACTTGCTGCAACAAACATTCTTTGGATTTGACTCTTTTGGGGGATTTCTCCATAATTTGAAACTCCAGTAAGGGAGGATGCAGGCGAGAAGCGTTTTCCCTGTCTGCACAGGCTACCCTGCTTTGTGCCGAGGCAGAACAAGCCCTGGGGTGCACGGGATCCCCCCGGGCTCCTCTCAGGTACTCACCTCCGTGTAGGACTTCTTTGTGATATGGACGTTCTTGGCCCTGTACGACTGACGCCGCCTCTTGTAGTCGCGCATTTCGGCCAGAATCTCCAGGTGGGATTTAGGGCCTTTCTGACTATCATCTGCCAGGAACATAAGAATACAGCAAACGGTTATTGGCAGAACAGGAGCACCTGCGGGTGTACAATTCTGCTGCGTTAGAAATAACTGTCTGGAACACAAAGTGTCACTTCTGAACAGAAGCTTCTCCAGCAGTTTTTCCAGCAACCATCAGGAAACAAGGTCTAGCACAAGCTTCCTCTCGACTGTCTTGCTAGAGGTCTACCCAAAACTAAAAAACCACCACGCAAATGTTAGGTGATCCCAGTCTCCTAGTGGTGACCCAAATGGTGAGATGTCTTCAAAATACAGACCACCTCTTCAAAGGCAGTACCATTACAGGACACAAAGACTTAGGAAAACTAATTCTGTAAAATATTTACAGGTGCAGGTGGCAAACCTGGGCTCCCCAGTACAAGAGGGATGTGGAGCTGCTGGAGAGTCCAGCGCAGGGCTACCAGGATGATCAGGGGTCTGGAACATCTGCCCTATGAGCAAAGGCTGAGGCAGCTGGGCCTGTTCAGCCTGGAGAAGAGGAGGCTGAGGGGGGACCTGATCAGTGTCTATAAACACCTCAAGGGAGGCAGTGAGGAGGAGGGGGCGGCCTCTTTTCAGTGGTGGCCAGCAATAGGACTAGAGGAAATGGCCACAAGCTGAGGCACCAAAAGTTCCACAGGAACTTAAGGAAACATTTCCTAACAGTGAGGGTGACAGAGCCCTGGCACAGGCTGCCCAGAGAGGTTGTGGAGTCTCCTTCTCTGGAGATCTCCCAAACCTGCTTGGATGCAGCCCTGTGCCATGTACTCTGGGTGCCCCTGCTGGAGCAGGGCGTTGGACTAGATGGTCTCTGGAGGCCCCTTCCAACCTTAAGCATTCTATGATTCTATGAAACATGGATCTCCTACCCTCTAGGCACAGCAGAGCCCACAGAAGAGCACAGATGTGTTGCAGTGGGTACAAACACCAACTGGCAAGCGCCAGCAGTGACAGACAGCATGGTGTGGCATACCCACTGGTGGACTGCTCAGGAGCTCTGTCAGATTTCTGCCACCCTCTTTTGTTGGGCTTTCACCCATAAATGATCTTTAATCTCACCATCCCTTGGAGCAAATATGCTCCTCCAGCTTCACGGTAAGCTGTTAATATTAAGTAACATGAAGTCAGTTACAGCAAAGACAGAAGTACTTCCCTTGCCCGAGATACACACCATGCTTGTACTGCCAAAATGAAAAAAGAGCACGGAGGCCTTCTGAGGAAGAGAGCCACACCACAGTGGTGTTTTCTGATACCACGTCTTCATTTACAAACTGTACATTTTTCACAATAAAAATAGCGTGAGAAATGAAATTTGGCCTTTGAGCAAGCTCACAGAATGAGAAGTTCAGAGCGAGAGCCTCGGCACGAGCCTGGTTTCAAACCTTGGGTGATCTTTGCAGCTAAGTCCACGAAGAGATCGCTGTCGTTTTCCGTGATTTGGGACCGGCACCTCTGCTTCTTTGTCTCTTCCACGACGTAGTCGTAGAGCGCGAGGCGATCGGCCTGCGTCAGGTCGCAGGTGAAACGCTTGTGGTTCTGGGGAACCTCCACGGGCACCGAGGAGTAGCAGCCTGCAAGAGCACCACAGGGCACCTTGGAGCTCTGGATTTTAAGCTGAAACAAGGAAGAGGAAGCTGCTCTGTGCATAGCTCTAACTCACAGGTGAATCCTGCTCCTAGAGCTTTCTGTGAGGGAAAAGCTTCAAATTATTTGCTGTTTTGTCAACAAGACCAGAGTGTCCAAGGGGCTCCATGACTGAATGCTGTCTGTGCAAACCAGTCATACTCACACTCTCATCTGCTCCTCGGGGTTTTTAAAATAGACTATCACACACAGCAACAGCTCAAAAGGCTACAAACATATCTCCAGGTGGTTCCAAATTGGTTCTCTTTCTAAACCCAAAGCTATTAAAACATCCTTGTTCCCTGTTAACTTTTTTTCCTCCCCCTCAAATGATTAGCCTGGTGCTTGGTCCTCCTGTTCCCTGGTTAAAACACACAAGCTCCAAACCAGGCAGTCAGCCCGCTCTCAATCCACGGCACTGGCAGCAAAGCGACTGCCCTGAAAACACAGGACCTTGCCCACAGCCAAGTGCGGGAGGGAGCACAGGAGAAGGAAGGAGCCACCCTAGCTCTGATTTACAGAAAGCAACCCCAAAACACCGTTTTCCCTCACTGCTGAGCTTGGAATTCAAACCAGAACATTTCACATATATTTAATAGCTAAATACTGGCATTTTATTTGTGATATACGCTGTTTTTCCAGGGTCACAGAAGTGCAAAGTGCCCTAACAGCTTTATGCTTATGGTTTCACAAGCATCCCACAGCTTATGATGAAGACCAACCTTCCTTTCCCATTACATAGTCATTCTAAACATAGTTAGACATTTCTTAAAAGAACTTCAGCATCAGTCAACAGGAAACCTCCAGTTACTGATGCTTTCCATTTGTCTCTTTTAGATTTTAAACAAAGATTTTAAACAAAGCAGATAATTCCAAAACAGGAAATCTCGAGGGAGGCCAAGAGACCATTCTACTGGATCAGGGCCCTCCCAAATAAAGGCCAGAGTACAGAGAAAACTGAGTAGCAAATACTGGCACCTGGTGGCTCAGAGACACATCCTTGCAGCGCAGAATAAGGGGCATCTGTTTCCTCTCTGTATTTGAAAGCATCTTCAACAAATTGCTAAAGTACCACCAGCCTCTGGAGAAATTGCACCTGATATAATCCAAATATGGTGCCAAGCACACAAACTTTTCCCTTTTTCTTAAGTAGACACACTTTTCCACTCTGTCCTGGCCTCACCTCCCAAAGAGGTGAGAGGTCTAAAGGAGGTCTAAGTGAGCTACCAAAGAGAGGTCTAAATGAGTCTTCAACTATGTCCCAGACTGGCCACAAAACCCACTGAAAAGTGAGGCATAGAAAGAACAGTGAGCTCCAGGCCAAAGGACAGCATCAGATTTGCACAGGTAGCAGCACATTCACTATACCATTGCTCAGCAGAGTCTTAAAATAATTTCACATAATAATAGCGCCTTTGTTTATTTGTTTCTGATCTGAGGAGAGGTGGACAAGCACATTTAGCTCATTTCTAATATAGCTCATTCGTTTCTGAATCCTTAAATAACATTAAAAATACAGTCCTTTCTGTTCCTTTGCTCCCCAGCTATTCCACAAAGAACAAGCTGCAGGCAGCCTGAGAAGCATCTGGGGCCCAACGGGCCGAGGAAGATATGAGGAAAGGCAGGCAAAAAGAAAGTTGTAGGTGGTGGGATGGGAGATGAGGGATGAGAGCTTTAGAAATTTTCCCAAATTTGCAGTGAGGATTTCCCAATCCTGCTGAGAACTATAAGTTTGAGTAAAAAACACTCAAATTCTCTCAGCAGAACTGAGCAGAGAAGGCAGGCCAGTTTGCAAATACATGAGGGAAAGAATAGTTAAATAAATAAATAAGTAAGTAAGTCTTGGCAGCAATTCCCAAGTGGAACCAAGGAAGCTGGGCAGCAGGAGATACGAGCAGCTCTCCACAGATGAATGGAAGCTGCATCAGTATCGATATTCCCTAGTTACCTTGGCTGTAGCCTGCACCTTCTTTGGCACTTTCGGCTCTAGCTTGCTGAACAATGCGAAACTGTAGATCTTTATCTGCAGAAGGAGAAAACAAAACATCATAGAGCTTTCATACCAAGCACCTGGCAGGTGCTTTACTCTTTACTGGCCAACCTCTATTATGGTATTTTACTAAGCATTAGTAGCTCATCTGTGCATAGATGGAGTAGGAACTATAATGTTATTTTAATCTAGTCTCCATTTTAATGAAGGGGACAGAAAGGAAAGATTTCTGGGTTACAGAGATGTGTAAGAAAAGCATATGTTTATATGTGTTTGTGTGTATTACATATATAAAATTGTGTGTGCATGTGTATATACATATATATATATATATATACACACACTCATCCACACAGCCCCAAATATCAACTTTATTTTGCACCATTACTATGCCCAAACTTCTGAGCCAAACTTCTACTACACCCAAACTTCTTTTCCTGCCCTCTGACTCATGCTCTAACACAACAGCCCTCCCGCACTCGCTATAGGGAGGACACAGGGAGACCCTCCACAGCCACCTACAGAGCAGCAAAGCCCTCGGTGGCCCCAAGGCAGGTGGCACGTGCCCGGGTGCTCCCACCGCCTCCAATTTCCCAGGCACAGGGGGAGAGTGAAGGAGAAAACAAGGGAGGGAACAGAAGTCCTTCCCAATGGTGGCTGGGGGCCCTACATCCTTGATTCTGTGGCGGCGAGGTGCAGAGAGAGGCGCTGGTTCCGTGAGAGAGGCCTGGGGACACTGCGAGGACACGACAAGAGGCCTGGGGACACCACGAGGGCTCTGGGGACACCACGAGGGCTCTGGGGACACTCACCCATGGTCACCGTGGGCACCTGCCGCTGCTCGTAGAAAAAGCTGGCGTCGTACATGTCCTCCTGCAAGGCAAGGCGAGACGAGAGGCGGCTGTGGCACGCGGGGCCGCCGGAGCGGCGGGACACGCGTGGGACATGGGACACGCACCTGCTCCTGGCGGGAGTAGCCCATGGCGCGCAGGCGGCAGGCGGCCGCGTGCGCGGACAGCGAGGCGGGCGGCACGCGGTGCTGCGCGTCGTGCGGGCAGGGCGCCAGCTCGGCCTGCGCGGGCACCGCGGCGCCGGCACCAGCACCAGCACCGTCACCGGCGCCGCCTCGGCGTCACGGAGCCCCAAACCCGCCCGCCCAGGCACCAACCCGCACCCCATCCAGCCCCAAACCCGCCCAGGCACCAACCCACACTCCATCCAGCCCCAAACCCGCCCAGGCACCAACCCGCGCCCCATGCGGACCCAAACCCACCCAGGCACCAACCCGCGCCCCATCCAGCCCCAAACCCGCCCAGGCACCAACCCGCACCCCATCCGGACCCAAACCCGCCCAGGCACCAACCCGCGCCCCATCCAGCCCCAAACCCGCCCAGGCACCAACCCGCACCCCATCCAGCCCCAAACCCGCCCAGGCACCAACCCGC